GCGGTTGTGTGGGGTTGTATTAACGCGCCCTGAAATACGCGGGTCAAAAACTAGGAAGCTCGTGTGACGCGTTGTGGAGCTCTGTGAAGCCGTAATAAAAAGCGGGAACGGAAAGCCTGGGTTGCGTAGCAGCAAGTTGTGTGACGGGTGCCTCTGTGGGAGGCGTAATTGACACTGAACTGGGATAAACAGGAAGTTAAAAAATGGCCCTTGACTGTTGTTTAGAAGTGTGCTTTTCCCTGAAAAATTGTCAAAGCCTGAGTCTCAAGAGCTGTTTCAAAAACAGCATAAATGCTTTTGAAAACCCCTTTCTGGATATGGGGTCATATTCATATGCTGGAATGGGACAGCTTTTATTATCAAAACAGTAGTGCATAATATGCTCCTGGGCTTGCAGTGAAATGTTTTCTTTATTCAACCAGGTTCCACAAATTATTTTATCACTCTTCATCATTGTCAAAAATGTAATAAAACTTGGGAAAAAAGAGTTGTCTTGCACCTTTAAAAGAAGGCCTGAAAGTGTGCAAAGAAATGTTTTATACAGAGACTTAATGCGCATCCTGGTTTTATAAATATGTCATTTTAGGAAAGTAAAATTTTCTTTTTAGAAAGTACTGTGAAAATTGTTTTTAATAGTGTGCAGACAACTACCAGTATCAGCCTGATAACTTCTTTTTTTGGAATCTTTATTTTTAGAATTCTTTCTATTTTGTTATTTTATGTTTAGGTGTTGATCAATGCATTCAGAAGTTTCTGGATGTTGCAAGACAAACTGAATGCTTTTTTCTACAAAAAAGACTGCAGCTGTCGGTCCAGAAACCAGAGCAAGTAATTAAAGAGGTATGATTAAATCAATTTACCTGTGTTGTGCTAGATCAGAAAAGCTGTGTACCAGTACAGTTAATCACCTCGTTCACATTAATTTGGGGTTTCTCAACATCGTGCTGTATCTTAAGTTGGTAGAACTTGACTGTTTATGAAGCTCTCACCATGAACCTGGAGAGGCTGGATGCCTGCTGCTCTGTGGAGTGTTGGAACACGGATGACAGTTTCATTGGAAGAAACAAACTAGTTAGGCAGATTTTGCTGGAAGTAATGATCTCCGAAATATGTGACCTAGGGGAACGGAACCAGTGCATTCACAGTGCTTCCCCTCTGTTTCATTTGACGCTTTTCCATTATTAGAATCCCTGTAAGATCAGCTTGAAAACTCAAGCTAAAAAAATTACATGCTTTTTATGTGAGGTGGTTGTTCTTATGAATACTGTCTATTTACTAATACACATTTTTTCATCCATAGGATGTTTCAGAATTAAGAAATGAATTGCAGAGAAAAGAAGCATTAATTCAGAAACATTTGGGTAAACTGCGACACTGGCAACAGGTCCTGGAAGATATCAGTGTACAGCACAAAAAGCCTGCAGAAATGCCTCAAGGTCCATTAGCTTACCTAGAGCAAGCATCTGCTAATATTCCTGCTCCAATGAAGCAAACGTGATCTTTGATTTTACATATCTGAATACTTTCAACAGTAAGCAGTGGTGTTACTTTTACTTTGTATGCTTTTGTATAAGGTAATTTGTACTACAAATATAAATAGTTAAGACAACTAAGCAAAATAAATTATCTTCCAACCCCCCCCCCCCAAAAATATGGGTTATTTTTATATTTCAATGGAAAATCTGCAGAGTGCTCTTCAGGATGCTTTCTGGTAGAAGTGTGCTTTCCAGAATGCATCCTGTTCCTTCTAGAAAGGGTGGCCGTAGCTTTCCCCTAACTATCTCTTTGCTGGTATGGTGAAAATACTTGCAAAGGGTACTGTGTGGTTTTACTGGAAGATTTAAATGTTTTGTGATCCAATAATTGTCCTGAAGTACCACTGTAGAAACACCCTTAGAATTGTCTGTATCTAGGTCAGATCAAGAGTACTTTTTTTGAAGTGAATTGTCCATCTCCACTGTACTTTTGCTCACCTCATGAAGAGGTCTCACAGTATACAAATTTGCTTCTTATGGATGAAATGAAACTGCAGAATGCACCCTGGCGAGGGGGGTATGTAATGCAGGCCCGATGTTACTGGTGTTCTGTCTGTCAGAATAGTGTAGAGATGGTCCAAAACACCTACCCCCAAAACAAAGACCACTCATTGTGGATGTTGGGTCATCAGCACTGTCCAGTCTACAGAATTAGCTTCTGCTGGGTTGCACCATTTAGTAATCTAAATGTAGCCAAAAAAAGATTTTGGAAATAGAAATAGCAAAGGAGTCCTGTCTCTGTATTTCTAGGCAACAGGCTTAATTCACCTTTTGGGGGACAGAGTTAACTAATTAGAATATTGTAACCCTGGAAATTAGAATTAGTAACTGTATTGAACTTTCTAATGCACTTTAAAAGGTTTTGGGGTAGAGTGGATGAAAACTAACAAAAAACCTAGCTCTATACATTTCTGATCCTCTCACAGATACCAAGGCACTCCTCAGTGTTACTTACTGTACACCATTTTATCCCCTTCTTGGTTACATGTATAAAAAGTGTCTTTTTGCCAAATCTGATGCCAAAGTCTCCTTCCAAACCAAGCAGTTCATCTTGGAAAAAATACTAGACAGCTGGGATGAAAGTATTGGCCTGTAGAAGCATTCTGCCCCTTCTGCCACCTTTTTACCACGGGTGAGGTGCAGTGACTGTTTTCTACTAAGTGCTTGCATCAGTTGGTACAGTTCTTGATGGCTGTAAGAGGTTAGGCTGGAGGTAGCCTTCGCCACACCTAAAATTTGACGTAGCTGGGTCCTGCTGGTTGAAATTAAATGGGGATTCAAATCATATAGCAGTTGAAGAAGAACTATCCTGTCTTAAACACTAGGCTGCTGGTTGCACGATTCCTTTCACATTGGTTGAGGAATTATCTGAGGGTTAATTTCTTTGTGGGTGTCTTTCCTTCCAGTAATGAGTCAGCTAGCATGATCTGATAAATGCAGTCATTTACCCACTTTGCATTTAGGTGGGCATAAGAACAATATTGAGATAAAATGTACAAGTGTGCAGTTCCCATAAATCTGGAACTCTGAGCCTATCAGTCTGACTCACACTTCAGCATAACATAGCGCTGTTTTGCACAACATAGAAATGGATGATTTACAAGCAAGTTTTAATGTTCATACTTACATATTATCCTAATGCATCAGGCTGACTGTTACATGTATTGAAGTGCAACAGGAATATTATACTGCAATGCTGACTATACAAAACAGATATTAAGCAAACCAGGAAGTACTTCTAAACCAGCCTGCTATAAACATGCTATTATTGGAGGCATACCTCATGCTGTACAGCTTAAAATAAGTTTAACAAAAATCTATTAAAAACTTAAAAAAATACATTATTATATGCAGAAATTATTTTAAACAGCTGATGAAGCAAATGTATAAACCAACAGAAATCACCTACAGAAGTAAGATCTTTTTTCAGCTGGAGCCAGATTGACAGGACGTATCAGAGACCAAACTCCATATTTAACAAATTGCAGCGTGGTACAGTGTCTTGATTAAAAAGTCTCTTCACATAACAGTATCCAGAATTTTGCTTTTTCTTAATTTTTTACACAGGTTGTTAAAAAACTGCATTTTTCTGAAATCCATGCCTGTAACTCCATAGTAATTAGATGTAAAAGAGTGCAGTTCCTAATTATTTAGTTGGAAATTACATCTTTTTTTTTCTTTTCTTCTAAGTCATACATTGGATTATCATTCCCTAAAAGAAAACAGGAAGAGCTGTTCTAGTAATTCTAAGAAGTATGGAAATAGTTTGCTTTAAAATGAAAAATATTTGGTAAACCATTCTTGATGCTGAGGGTCTTGGTTTTTGTCATCTTTGGTTTGTGGTGGTTCATTGCCATGTGTCCTGTGCAAACAAATAAGCATTAGCATCACTTACTTACAATCTTACCAATATCTGATATTTTTTTTCCTGGAAAAACTCATGATCCTATGAATAGAGCTGTGCACACATGAACTGGGTGAGGCCAAAAGGTGCCAGCTACAATTTCTAGTGGGATCTGCTAGCCAGGTAACTGGACTAACAGCACTGGTAGCAACACAAGGGAAAGTGTGAAGGAGAGCTAAACAGGTATGGAGAAATGTTTGGACATAATTATTGACTTGACATCTCTAAAAAAAAGGATGCTTCAAGAATATGAAGTCTTGAAAATCAGAAAATGGCAGCTGCAATTCACTCTTAAAGATATGAAATACAATTTATGCATTAAAAATGTTGAGTAAAAGTTTTACTTGGAACTGAAACATTTATCTGAATATTAACTGGCTTTTATAATCAGTCCTATTACATAGTCCCTGATTTTTCAGCATTCAGGATGCTTTTTTAACATTAATTTTGGTTAGCTTATAGTAGCAAATAGGACTTCCCTTACGCTGGATGGATTTAAGAGTAAGTAGGTAGCAGCCAAGCTACCCTCCATCTCCCTGTATGTTTTGCTTTAAAATATAAATCTGATTTGCCTTGGCAGTCATCTGGCATGACAGAATGGTTTTATCTTTAAGGTATAGGAATTGCAGAACTGGATCCAAGCCCGTGTCCTGGGTTATTGTCTTTGGCAGCAGTCAGCACCATCTGCCTTCAAAGAAAGAACTCTGTAGCACACAATTTACAGGATAACTCATCTCCACTAGGAGATAGGTGAGAAGGCTGGCTTTTGTCCTGAAGTATAGAGGTAGGGGTTTTTTTTTTTAATTATCATTATAACTGTATAATGTTAACTACATAAATTTTTCAGTATTTCTTGAAGAGATAGTTCAGTAATGTTTATAAAACACTAAACATTGTTTAAATAACAACTCATAAATTTGAAGTCAAGCTTTTCAGAGAAAAACTCAAACTAAGAAGTTTTTAGTTAAGTATCTGCTACTCAATTTTTAAGTCTCTAAACCCTTTGCAAAATGACTAGCCTAGATTCATTCAACTATCTCCTAAAATAAAAATATTTTATCTACATTTACCAAGTGCAAAGTGAGTAAACAAAAGTAAGAAGGAAAACACATCCTTAACAGAAGCACTGATATGTGTCCAAAGTTTTAAACAGGCATGTTTACTATTAACTACATTCTTAGTTAAACACTTGCAACTCCTCTCTTTTTTTTTGTACCAGGAGGGTTTGCAATCATAAGCGCTGTTGGGCAGTGATTATAGTGTACTTCTGCAGTAAAATTCTGGGTCTGTCTGCAGAGAATTGAACACATGGAGTTCACTGCATGACAGGAACCTTACGCCATTGTTTATTTCCAAATGTCTAATGTGTTTGAATGCCTACAAGATTCTGAATACCAATTCATTTATCATCTCTGCAAAATGGACAAATACCTTGTAGCAGCATTGCTGTCTGAGGACTGTGCTGATGGAGAGTCCACCCTGAGGCAGCCAGGACTCCGGTCTAAGCTTGTAGATTTTGTTATTTGAGGAGCACTTCTTTTTGATCTCAAGTCACAGCTCAAAAAGCTCTTTGCGTAGGAAGCTAAATTCGGAACGCTGACAACACGACTGGGCACCTCAACCATTTTCTTCTGCTGTTTTTTATTGTAACAGAAAACTTGATTACACATGCTTTTTTTTTTTTTTTTTTCACTTTAAAACCTCAACAATACCTCATTCCTAGATTTCTTGTGAGGACCACCCAAAAATGAAGATTCCCATCTTTTTCTGTAGGCATTTAAAATAAATTCTCAGGGTATGCTGTGAGGATCCATGGATTGGGTAGTCCAATTAAAACAACTCGTGTATTTGACCTTGAGGTTTTAGAAACATCAAAGCTGATAGCTTTGCAGAGCTCAGTTAGGTGCTTTCCAGCAACTTGACCTCTTTTCTTTCCATGACTATTTATAGACAGTACCATACAGAGGGGCTGGAATGACAAAGGGTAAATCCTGAGCAGCCCAAACACAATTCATCATTTTTCTTGATGCATGCAGTATCCCAAATAGCAACTCCCAAGTCTGCAAGCAGCTTCCAAATCTGCAAGCAATGGCTGTGCTTATCCCAGTGGAAGAATGACGGCTTTGGAGCTCTAGTGTTTTATATTTGCTTAAACACCTGTATCTATGTGCATATATACTTCTACTGAATTTATGTTATACTCAGCACCTGGTTGTAGGTTGGCTTACTGGAAAGAATTCTACTGAATAACATTACCATGAAAGATTAATAGGATCAATCTTTATTGTCCTGATCGTCTGTGTAATTCAAATAGCAATAAAACATCAAGATTTGTGATTTTAATTGCATTGCCTGTCTTACCTTCATGGAAGGAGTCAAGCATCCTGTATTAGGGTTGAAAGAAAATGATCGATTCCTGTAAGATTCAGTGTTGGCTAGTAGCGAATGCTGAAATTTTCTTCCTTCCTGAGGGGAAAGAAAGTTACGTGTATGGAAACATCTATTTGTTGGAAGTTGGTGTGGAAACATACTTGTCAAAGTATTCCAGAACAGAAAGAAAGTATCCGTCTGGAGCAATGTGTGAAACACTGAACAGAGCCTTCCAACAGATTCCAAAATATGTATGTACATATAAAAGGAAATCTTACCACCAGCTGCTTGATAATCTCTTCTCTCTCACTTAATTTGTCTTGCAGACAGCTTATAAGGTGTGTATCTTCTGATCTGGTCTCCCACTTTCTTGACTTTTCTTCTAATTCTTTAAGTCTGTACCAAAGAAAACGCAGACCAGAAAAAACTTCCTCAGGCCAGGTTCAAAAGATACCTGGGCTGTACTCTGCCCTAAATTGCAAGCCTAAAACACAGGGACATAGGCCTTTCTGATAAAACAGCACTTTTTAAAAATGGCATTTGTACATGTATTACATGTAAGATGCTGTGGAGTTCCAAAATAAATTGCTACCAGCGTTAACCCACAACTGTCCAGTGTAAAATCCAGCCCCTGGTGCAAAATACTAACAAGCTTGCACATCACATTGCTTGTGTAGTTTCCTAAAGAAAAAAATCTGTATCACAGTATCTGTGCATGTCTGTATTCATCTCTTTGTTCTCTTTTCTGACCCAATAACTTCAGAATCCACAGGCCAGTTCCAACCGTGTTTGACAGAGGCCTCAGAAATACTCAATTCCTATAACTTTGTGGAGAGGCTTGGATATACATGCTGCTTTAGTGAGTTCAGCTCTTTAAATGCCTTAATCAGGAGAAAAGATGCAAATGAGAACTTACACCTTCTTAGAGATGGTTTGGAAACACACACTTCATTGACCCATGAGAAAACAAGTCATTATTTCATCAGCCCAGTTACTGAATGTTGCTGTTTGAGAAACAGTGCTGTGAAGTTCACCTGCCATACTGAGAAATGTATTACAGAATACAAACCACCATTTTGTGGGGTTTTTTTGGTGAACATAAACATTTTTGAGAGGTCACCCCCCCACACCCCCCAATCTTATACTCTTAATTTAGTGTATCTCAGAGTTTAGATAAAAAGATAAATCTTAACACCTGAATGGTTTGTGACCTGCTTACATTCAAGTAGGTCTCTCTTCTGGATCCGCACAGTTGGCATAAGAGAAAAGGACAAGGGATATATATAATCACAGGGATTATTTCTGAAGGGCCTCTCCTGTACAGTCTGAAGCACCACAGAACTACTTAACTCCACAGGAAGCTGCAAAGTGCATTATTTACATGAGTTAGTGGGGGCTGTCCTGGGAAATTTGTAAGGGTGTGAGAATGAGCAAGAGCTTAACCTCGAAGATGCTGCTCTGCTGAAAATTAAGTACAAGATCATGGATCAAGGCCTCTGGTATCATCTGTGACAAAGATGATTTTACACTTCATAAAATTGCAAGGTGCTAAGTGCAGGTTTTAATTTAGCATTGTAAAACTGTATGTATAGTGCTTCACAATAAATAATATTCAGAGTTTATTACAATATATCTGGGTCTGTGTTTGCAAAGGAAATACCTATAGACTTCTATTTCAGTGCTTACAATATTCTACCTATGAGTAATAAAAAAAATTATACATACTAAGAATAATAATTTCAAACAGATCTCATTGCCAGTATGAGCCAGAGTTTATTTAAATGACTTACTCAGCTTCTAAGGAGAAAATCTTTGCTTGGAGTTGTGCCCGAGTGCTGCTGAAATCACGTAATATGTTTTCGATTTCCTTCCGGTGACCTTGTTTCAGTGTGTCCAGTTCTTTTTTACGCTTGATACTGAGGTCTTCTACCAGTAGCCTTTCATTGGTATTAAAATATATCTGAATTCTCATGTTTCAATACTAGTTTATTATCATTGATCAAAGCACACAGTTTTGAGGTCTTTTATTGATTACAAAGGTAGTTAACTGTGCAGCTCTGGGCTTCTGCTTACTGATTTGACTTTGACACTTTGGTTGCAATCTGAAGCAGAACCACATTAACACTGAGGAAGAGGAGAATTATCTGGAGACTTTCAGCCTTCAGGAAATGGAAGGTCTATTCTATATAATGGTGCTATTGATATTCTATCTATGGTTAGTTTGTACATAAATCTTACTGGTCAAACATGACAATAAAGTACCATAAGAACTCACTTGTATTAAGCAAAATTATTTTGAAATCTCTGGGATTTTAACATGAGGCTCTGATGCTATATTTCATCATGTTATGGCACCAGAAACATGTAATACTGCCTTCCACCATCCTAAAAATATTTTTTTAAAAAGTGAAGGTAAGAAACATTATAACAACACCTTTAACTACAACAATTGTCTTTAACAGACAATAGATTTTGAAAGATACTGCTATTTCATTAACACCGACAACTGAAACCTAAAAAATGCCTAACATTTTTTCAAGCCTAGCCATAACATTGCTTTCTGATACCAATCCCAAAACCTATAGCCATCTATTGAAGAATCATTGTTAGCTTGTTGCCTTTTGCTTGGTAACGTTTTGTTAAACCTTGGAGAAACTTTTGTATTAACTCAATGCAGAGCACATGTTCTGTTGTTTACCGATTAAAATAGAGATGTCAAACTCAGAAGATTAACAATTGTAATTTTCACAAAAGATATTAAGTTTACCTTTTTTTTTTTTAATGTATTTCTAAGCCCCTTTCACTTGTTTCTGAAATGCTTCCAGAAAGGCCAAAAGGCCCACAAAAGGTTTCTGCCCTTGAAATTAGAGCACAGCCATGGGAGTGATTGATTTGGCATTTGGCACAAAATAGCAAGCAGAAGAATAAGAGTAAAAATGGGAGCAGAATCTCTGACATGGATCTTTAGGGGTAGAATAAAAGCTCTGTTTCAGAATAGCCATTTTGGGACTTGTCCTCTCTTCCCATAAAAAAACCCTTTGTCTGCTCTCATCCTAGTCCTTACAAAAGGTTTCTGTACTGGAGGTGGAATTCACACAATTCAAGAGAATGGAAATGGGAATGATTACTTCAAGCAGATTACTGGTTTCACTCACTTGGCAACAGTAGGAATAGTAATTTTAAATAATTGGTTATAAAAATGTGGCACATGCAAATAACAAGCCACTATCACCTTTCAAATCAGAAACAATTATATAGCATAAGAAAATGTCACTGTTGTTAAAGTAACAGTAAAAAAACCTGTTATTTATATGCACTCACCAATTTAACTATTCCCCTACCCAAATTATTGGTCCTGCAAAAGCAAAACAAGAGCTGCAAGTTAATGTTGCAGACCTTCCATGGGTTAATTTCAGAGCAGCCTGTATCAGGTGCCTAGGACCATTTGAGCTCTTTGGTTCTACCTCCTGTTATTTGAAGGGTTTCTCCTTACATAATTTCCATTAATGCTTCCTTCTCAAATGCTTACTGTAGTAGAGCTACACCATCTATCCCCTGTAAAGATTATCCTCCAGCCCAGCAGCTTGAGCATTTGAGGCCTTTTAGACCTCATCACTGACATGTGAATAATTCTTCTCTTCATGAACAGAGGCTCTAAATTCCTTCAAGGTAGCTGGAGGGCACTGATGAAACTCTCTGGTTTGCAATTCTTTCTGTTGATCTTGCTTCAAAAGCTTGAAATGAAAGTCACTTTCAAGTAACTCTCTAAAGAGTGCAAAGGGGGAAAAAAAGAGAAGTTTCTTTCTCATTCTTTAAATATCTACTGACTGGTAGACGGCAACAGAATTACTCTGGCCACTCTGACAGTCTGCCGAGAGACACTGTATCCCTTGAGTGCTTTTCTCTTGACTATATAGGACATAATTTTAAGGATTCCTTTAAGGGTATACTCTTCAGAAATCCTTTTATATATACAGCTTGAGTAGTTAAGGGCATACATTCTACACCATTGCAGAAATGAATTGAAAGGTACCCATAAACCAGATCCCTCAATCTCTCTGCAAAGAGAATGTGTTAAGTGCGATCATCCAGAAATTTCAAAGGATTCAACAGCCATACAAATGCACTGGACAGTGAACCCCAGTCTTGTCTCCCATGTAAAAGGCAAGTCCTGCACTTTTTCTGTACCCAAATGGGAAGACTCCAATTACTGCAATGCAACACGTGCTCCGAGCCTGTGGCTACACTAAGAGGGTGTGGTCCACCATCTACAAAGACAGCCAAGACTACAAGTCAGCGTTGCCCTTCCTGTGCCCTGACAGCACATTGCAGCTCCAGGCTTCCATCAGCCCAGAGGCGCTGTCAGTATCTGCTATCACTGCCCTTACTCCCCCAGTGCAAAGCTGGCTGTTACAGCCAAAGCAGTCTCACAGAGTACATATGGCATTCTCAAGAGTCCCCTTTAGAGTTAACAACCCATTGGTTTCAGCTACAGAGAGTACATATAAAAAAATGATATTTGTTCTCAGAGACTTCTACATTTTTTTAATAGCTCTTGGGTGAGTGTGGGATTTGTTTATGTCTTCCAGTGCCTCTCAAAGGCTGACGTTACGCAGATTTTCTCAGGTCACTCCTGTGGGGCTACGCTGGACATATTTCTCTGTGACATATAATGAACAGTTAGTTCAAATGCTTTTGTTATGGCTGGAGAGAAATGTGAAATGAACTACTGCTTTTGCAAAACTCCTAACCTCTAAAATTAATACTTTACAAAGGAGAGATTCTGACACTCATCACATTTAGAACATCTCTGATGCTGGCATTATTATTGACTCTGTAGATAGCACTGTGAAGTGTGAATTTAAGGCAAACCTTCTGTGCTGTTTCTCCCTATCCTGAAGCTGTTCAGCTTCTTGCTTCTGTGACTCCAACTCAGCACTGAGTAGCTCCATTGTGTCCTTCAAAAGTAAATTCTCTTTCTTGAGTTCGGAAATTTCACTCTGACATTTTTCCAGTTCATCATGGAGAGATCTGATCTGGCTCTGGCTACTTCCTTCCTAAGAAAAAGGCCAAATTTAGTTATTCACAGACTCTAATTACTTAATGCAAAGAGCTCACTGGAATTGTGTGCATTGAATTTTTGTGGACTGATTTTTCAATTAAATGCGCAATTATATGTGCAAGACGAAATCTGTGATCAAAACTTCCTGAACATATCTTATAGTCCCCATAAAATTTATTTTATTTTAACATTCGTTCATTTACTTGTGTTGTAGATTCTGATCTGTAAATGAGAAAAAAGCCTGCCCATAGGGGAAAGATGATAAATAATGTTAACATTTTAAAGTGTGACATAAGGGAAGGAAACCCATTCCATTTCTGTAAGAGATTCTGTGCACTTTTATTATCTGTGGAGAGAGAAATTTGATACTATTGCTTTCACAAAACACAACACGGCAGCAAAGTATGAACTGGATTCTTGCCTGTTGCTTCTTCAGTGTCCTCACACTCCTCAGCTCCATTTGGAGTTCTTCTATTTGTTTCTTAAGATTAGTGCATGACGTCTGCTGCTCAGAGAGTTCCATCCTTAGAGAGCCTAGTAACAATCAGACAGACAATCATTAAAGCAGTCAGCAGCCAGCTGGATGGGGAAGGTAGATATAGACAATGTAGATGAAAACATTAATACATTACATTTTGCTTTGTTCCTCAATTCCTTTGCCATTAAGTATAATGGCCTCCTGTTACTAGAGAAGCAACTCAGTTGAGCAATACTAAGCAGATATGGAGCTACAATAGCAATGATTCAACATTGGAATCAGAGAGGTACTTCTGTGGCAGTTGTTTTGCAGACTAAATCACTATAATTGCTTCTTCTAACCTTGAACTTTACTGGAGCACCCCTGAGCTTCCCTGTTAAGTCCACTGGTGTTTTATAGAGGGCCATAAGGTAGACTGAGGACAGCTCTGGTTGTGTTAGAGAAATACAACACTTAAGTATGCAGATTTGTCATATACTGCAACTTTTGTGTATACTGGGTGCAAGTTTTGGCATGGATCAAGTACAAGGAGAAAGAAGTTTTTCTCTCTCTCTATTGTTTCCCCACAATTTTTCTCGAAGAAGAACAACAGACTTTATCTATTGAACATATAAACTTTAGAGAGCGACAACTCTTTCCAGCAAATTTGAATTACTGAAAAAACCCCAAGAAGGGAATCCAGTTTGTACTTAAAGTACTTCCAAATTATTCTCTAATTAAAAAAACTTTTGTAGATGAGCTTTAATAACCTGAGTTCAAACATGGAGATATTACAGGACCTCCTAATGCAGTGTTCTGTTCAGTTCTGAACAGTTTAGGGTACTTTCTAAACTGACTAAACAATACATATGGAGCAACTGATCTCCACTGCTGAACTCAATAGAACAGATTTGAACCACATATAGTAATTCTTCACATCATAGAAAAAAAGAGGAAAGTCATATACACTAACTACGATATTCCAACTTAATATACCTGATAATGCATACTTGAACGTTGTACACCAGCCTACTCTCACAGCAACATTCTGCTGCTGACAGTTGAGAGCTAGTTTAACAAAGAATATTAAGTCTGTATTGCTGAAATTGCAGGGCATGGAAAAGGAGATTCACAAAGGCCTGAGTTCCCAGAAGATGGGAAAGAAAATGAATGGGAGGAAAGTCAGTGCTTCTCAGCATGGAATCAAGCAGTAGGAGCTGTGCATGACAGGAGACATTATACCTAGCAACAGGGTTTGCTGCTTCTGTATCTGCTCGAGTTCATCATGTAATTCTTTCTTTGCTTTCTCTTCCAGGGTTTGTATTTCCAGCCTATGAGACTGATGTTGGATCTTGAAAGTCTCATTAAATTCCTTTCTCAAACGTTCCTCTGCCTCCTGTAAGCAAAAGCCCCCCCCCCCAAAACAAAGTAGTTGGAGCCTATTTACTTGTTTTACTTGTAATGCCAGGATGAATCTGGTCTTTCATTGTAGAACTTTTATTTTCATCACCACTTTACATGATACTTCATCGACAGAATAAAAGAATAAAAATGAGCTGAAGTTAAAAAATAAAACTTAATAGGGACAAGAGAAATTATTAAGATATCATCTATTAGATTTGTTGTACATCATGAAATAATAACACATCTTTGCACTATTTGGCATTAGAAAGATGTTTCATTATTCAACACACGAAGCCCCCCCAGATTTGACCTGTATGTCATTACTTATCACTACTTATCACAGTGTGTCAGACAAAGGCTTCTATCTTTCCCTGTACCGTTCTTGGCTAAAACTTCTACTGCCATTAGAAGTGCTGCTGCTAACACTGTAAACAACGGAGCAGTTGCTCTGTAGTGGTTCTGAAAGCAAACTCCTATCCTCAGTTTCATTTTTACCAGCTTACTGCCTTCAGCTGGGTTTTGTTAAAGCTGGGATTTTATTCTGAATATATAAACAAGATATTAAATTCTACTTAGCATGGTTTTACTATATATGTTTTATAAGCAGGTTTTCCATAAAGTGTGCGATGTCAACAGGGACATCTGAACTCCATATCACAATCACATGTAGATTTTTTAAGCCAATTTTTTTTCTCAAACACCAACATTCTTTAGAACCTCAATATACTGCATTAACATTTTGTCACTGAAATATATCCACCTGAGCCTTTAAAAGCTTTGGTTATCCACTTACAGAATTGGTTTGTTGAAGGTATCTAAGCCAATACACATCATTATACATGTCTATTCTACTTCTTTTAAAGTATTTATGTATAAATTAATAATGGATGAAAAAGAATAAAACTGAATCCTGTTAATAACACACTTAGGAATTCCCTTGTATTTCTGAAGAAAGAGCACAGCTAGAGGAGCTGGTATTCATTGCAGCCTAACTGTAGAGGGTAGGCTATATTATTTCATGAAACTATTTCATTCACACTGTGGTCTAAGTTCAAATGTTAAAACAATTTTAAAAAAACCCAACCTGAAGATGATGAGGTTTCAAAATCACAGAATAATTCATTATGTGCAACAATGGCAACCCATCATTAAGATAATTGGAGATAACTTATCCCACAAATATGATTTTTTTTAACACTAGTATGTTGTAAACTGACCTTGAGTTCCTGATTTTTGCTTTTCTCCAACATTTTTAAGACTTTTTGATGTGATGCCTCCAGCTGTAGTTTAACATTCTGGTTTTCTTTAATAGTGTTTTGAAGATCCTGCAAAAGCTTCTCCTTTTCTTTGTTGGACTGTAGATTATGTTTCTTCAGTGACTCCTTGAAATTATTTGCTTGCTGATCTAATATTTGCTTCAGCTGAGCCACCTTCCAGAAAAGTAAGTCAGCAGGATAGGATTAATGGCTGCATTCACAATGGAGAGGAATTATATAAATTTGAGTACATTTTATGAACTTGTGTTGCTCTATGAAAAAAAGCAAGATGCTTGTTTCATGCAAGGACCCCTTTTTCAGTGAAGAATGACATCCCTTTTGCATATACTGCCTGTTGCCCATCAAGTACTTTTCTTAAATTATTTCTTTTCAAAGCATCTCCATCTCATACATACAATCCATAATTCAGCTTGCACAACAATTATGGCACAAACCAGGAGGCAGGCGTAAGGCTGTGCTTATTGTCATCCTGGAGATGTAATACTGCAGAGTCCATTTACACAAAGCAGTAGATTAGAACCAATGGAAACAAGAATTCTGCACATCATGCTTCAGATGTGTTTTATTTTCTCCCTTCTCTTAGCTTAATTACTAAATACAGTAGACATGTCTATAATGGCTGACACACAAGTGATAAAAAAATACCCATTTATAAGAATAACTTGGTGGGGTTTTTTTTTGGTGGGGAAGGAAGGAGTTTGTTCTCTTTCCTATTTGGTAGGTTTTCTAAACTTTCACGAAAAATTTATATTTGCCCTTCTTCTTAAATTTGCCATCCCTAACATCATAGCTGTGAAATTCTGAAAAACTGCCTTCTACATAGAAGGAGCATGCATAATTAGTAAGGCCAATTAGCATTTTTGCTGCTGTAGCTGACTTCCAAGTCTGCTTTTTTGTGCTGCCATGCCTTCTGCAAAACCTCTGTCTCTTGCCTTTTCTTTTTGGGAGCGTGTGAAAAAGGATGGTGTGTTTTCCAATGTTTATATACATGTACTTTCCAGCCTTAGAGAAACAGAATTCAGACTATGAAAGGAAGAAGGTGGCTTCCTTAGAATTTCATGTGAGTTTATTCAAATGTCGTTACACACACCTGCAAATTGGATATGATACAGATTATAACCTGTGACTCCATCCTATTCTTTTCTCTACACTAATATATGGGTTTTGTCTCCTCTTCAGTGTTGCCTTCATTTTTTTCCATGCATACTGCAGACAGTTTGTTAGTTGAGGAAGCACTGCAGCTTTAGCTAGCTAAATAGTTGCTTGTAACTTCAACTGCACACTTGTGGTCCTTTCTGATGCAGCACCACAAAAGCTGGAGGAAGATTTACTAAGTGGGCTAAGGTGTCTATATCCTTCCACGTTTCATTCTCATAGCACTTTCTGGTATATTTTGTGTTACATAAGAGAAAAGAGGACATGCTGCCCAAAGCCCTTACTTCTCATTAACTTCATGGCCACAGTCAGCATTGCACTGTCCAAAGGGAGATACTAATGAGCTATGCCAGATTTCTTGAAAGCACAGGAATCCTTTCTGATGATGGCTAAATGTACTCCTGCTAGCTCATGGCGCTGTTCTTTCTTACATTGTTGACCATGCTGGCTTCTCTCCTCCAAAGGATGTATGTTCTTCTTTCCCTCTCCTGAGGTCCTTCTCCATTCCCAGATGGATCACAGCCCTTATTCTCTATGCCTCTACTATTCTCATAGGTTCCCAGCATAGAACTGTGCTCTAAAGGCTCAAAATGCTGCAAAACACAGAGCTTGTATCAGTTCCCAGGGTCTCAACTCCTTTCGAAGAAAGGACATTCTGTACTCCCACTTTATGACCACAATCTTCAACTACATTGTACTTATCTTAGCTTCTAGTCCTGATTTCTGCTTTTACCATTTCTTGGCATCTGCTCCCTTCTCTCTAGAACTTATACAAGTCTTTATGTCCCAGAAATGAATCCTGATATTAAAGAAGAAAAATTAATTTGAACCTTTTTTTTTTGGAGACACCCACAGCTTAGAAAGAATTATTTCTACTTGATCAATTTGTCCTATTTTAATTGGGTTTTCTACAGAGCAACTAAATAAGAGCCTGAAAACATTGTAAAAACTTGCTATACTTGGTGTGTTAGTAGTTTATAATTTTGAGTTAGAAGTTTTCATTCACAGAATATCAGATGAAGATTATTTCTATGTACGCACAATTCACATGAAAAATGAATGTTCATGGACTTCATGTGCTGTGGAGATAACTCAAAACCTATTACTTGAACACACACATTTCATGAGAACTACATAACTCCCTTTACTAAATCTGGTTTCTGTACCTCTGTAAGCAGCTAAAAGAAAAAATTACCGTTCCATTTTTGAGTAGGTTTACGGCTGCAGAACTGCTGTTCCTACACACAAGTCAGTATACTGTGTTCCTTCCATTTAAATAGAGTTTGTCCTTCACTTCAAATCCACAAGTCAGGTTCCTTTTCTCCTGGTCCAGTTGGTGGTGGTCATTACTGATCATCACTGATCTTGTACTTCAGTTTCCCTCTGAACCCTTTCCAACAGCCTGCTCACAAAGGGCCATATTACTGTTATAATTAATGTGGATTTCCTTTACCAGATGGGGTAGATGTTTAGTTTATTACATCAGTTTATTACTGATGTTTCACATGTTCCGAGATCTACAACAGTATCTGTAATTTAGACATGACAGAAGTCTGCAAGCAGAGATGAACCTTGTTAAAAATCTCGTTAGCAAAGCTACCAGTTTGGGCAGTTGACTTTCTCCTATTTGGTGGCCAAACCAAGCAATCAATAAAACTTCTAGTCAAATCAATCCAAAGGAATAATTTTTGAATGTACACATCAAAATGAAAGATTAAAGTATTTCCTCCAGACTGAATTTAATGTTTTTAAAACTTAAATTATTTCATCATTTGCAGGGAGACAAATGGCTTCATTCACAGAACACAGGGGAAGAAGAGATGGCAGTGGTGGTTCTGCTTTGTGTGTGTGTGAGGGAAAGGAAGCACAGAGGCACAGAAAAAACGAGAGAGCAAGAGAATGCGTGCATGTGCATATGAAGGTAACTGGGACACTTACCCAAGTGACGAAGGCCTAGGTTGTCCAGTGACAACTTAATATACAAGTGAAGAAGTGGCAACAGGTGACACGCTGTAGCTCACCCTGTTTCATCCTATAACCCACTGACAAGGGAACTCTTTCAAAGGTGAGAAAGCTGACAGAAGAAAAAAAAAACAAGCCTAGGTCTCCAACACATGCTCCCAAGTAACTAGTGATAGGACGAGAGGAAATGGCCCCAAGTTGTGTCAGGGAAGGTTTAGATTGGATATTAGGAAAAATTTCACAGAAAGAGTGGTCAAATTGGAACAGGCTGCCCAGAGAGGTGGTGGAGTCACCATCCCTGGAGGTGTTAAAAAAAAGTGCAGATGTGGCACTTTGGGACATGGTTTAGTGGGCATGGTGGTGTTGGGCTGATGATTGGACTGATGATCTTAGAGATCCTTTCCAACCTTAATGATTCCTAGTTTTACTTTCATTAAAAAATAATCCAGCCACCAAGTCAAGAATCATGAAATTACTACTCTACCCTTAATTGGTTTAGTGGTGGACTTGGTAGTGTTAGATTAATGGTTGGACTGGATGATCTTAAAGGTCTTTTCCAACCTAAATGATTCCATGATTCTAATGCTAGGTTGGTAGATAAGAAGAAAACAAACATTCCTTCTCCCAGTGTTTTGTGAATCAAGTTTTTTTATTTTGTTCTCTTTTAAGTGCCAGAAAATGAAAGACTAGTTTTCCTCTTCTTAAACAATTTCAAACCAACACGGTACATTTGAATTTCACTGAAGCTATCCAATCAAATTGATTTCAGTTAGCAAATTTGAAAGCAGACCTAGCTTCAGCTGCCCCAAACTGTGAGTTTAACTAATCATCCAGTCGTTTCTTGGCTTTTTCCTTTGTGTCATCCAACTAAATACAAAGAAAACTATCTGTCTGAACAAACTAGTGAAGCATAATTGCTAAATGTTATTCTTAACGAAATACATTAATTGTCTTTCATGCGTCTGTGTGATGGGATCTATCTCTGGCCTGGATATACTCCAAGAACAGGCAGGTGCCAGAGCCACTTCCCAACCATACCTTTTTTTCCAGAGCTGCTGCAATTTTTTGGTTTGGTTTTTTTTGGGTTTGGGTTTTGGGTTTTTTTTTTTTTCAGTAAGTGGTAAATCATAAGATTTAACTAAATGGGCACTTGGGCTTCTGGTTACAGGTAAAACATTTACTTTGTCTTAATGCTTATTGAACTCAAGCCAATGTTTTCCTATATAAAGAAAGGCAACACTGAAAGTTTTAGGTACTGCAGTTCCTTATAAAACTAACCTTTGATGTGAAACACTTAATGCTGTACAGTCCCCTGTATCAGTTGATGTAATATGCATTAGCATTACTACACTCAAGCATGCATTTTTTTTCTGGGCTTCCTGAAAGTAAGACAGTGAGTAAAAAAGATGTGCCAGAAGAGTAGGCTGTATATTTTCTAACAGAAAAATTGGAAATAGGAAAAATGTCACTTGGAATATTTCTTTTGCAAATTAAATATTCATCTAGGTGGGGAAGATTAAAAGAGGCATATATAAACTTCAGCTGTGGTCACAATATTATTAACCTTACAGAATCTCTTCATAGACAATTGTTGGTTCAAAGCACTACTAGCATGAAACACAAGATCATACTAACTAGAAATAGGCTAAGCAGTAAATTGGTAGCAATAGAGAACATAATGCAGTAAGAAATCAGATGGAAAAGTGTTTCTAAAAACATTATTTTTCAGTGATTTAGGGAAAAAGCCCTACACAAATACTTCAGGGATACAATTTTCTCATGAATTCTGTTCCTTTTAACTGTCAGTTAAAAGGGCTTTCAAATCCACCAGTGCAAATCCTTCTCTGGAATATTTTGCAGTGCCCAGGCATTTTATTGTGTTTCATTACTTCAAAACAGATAGCCAGACCCTCAATTTGTAAAACTGGTAAAGCAACATTTAAACCAATGAAACTATGCTAACTCACGAGTCCAGAATCTATTTGGCTCCTTTTACTAATAACAGACCAGTAACATTGTTTTATAATGTCTTCCTGCTGCAAAACAAAACCTCTTGAAAAAACTGTACCTCTAATACCATTATTCATTCACTTTTATCCACTAGAATTGTATAAAGCGGTCTTAAAGATGCAACTAATACCTATCCACAGTAGAAACTCTAGGCAACAGTATTTTTCTAGGCTCTGCTGAACTCTTTTCAAATTTCAGGGTTATGTTTGCACTTGCCCTTTCTTATGACAGCTGATTTTGCCTCCCACTGTCTTCCAAGTAAAGAAAAAAGGAACAACTATTACTAAAAGATGACAGATAAGTTTTGAAATATTTCAAAAGTCTTTCAAGTTTCATTCTTTTCTAACCATAATTACTGTCCTTCTCCTGGGAAGGATGGCTTGATTCTTCTGAAGAAGTACCTCTCAGACTTTGACAGCCCATGGGCAAAAATACTGGGCAAGTATAAGACTGTACATGCCATCACAGTTGGCTCCCCCGTTTGACTTCTACTTTGACTATTTTAATTCACTGTGCTTGCAAGCAGTATGAATACTTGAAGTCTATCTTATGTCTGCTCTCCCCTTATTTTATTTATTGTACGTAAGAAGTGTGAAATCTCAAAGGCAAGATCTAAAGTTGGAATCAGAGAGAATACTTTGACTTCCTGTATCTTTTAAGTAGAAAGATACGAGTTTCTCAATGCATTGCTAGGGGATGAATTTATATAAAAGACGACTTAAAACTGCCTTTTGATGTATTATAGAAGAGTCATCACAATTGAGAATTTGTTCAGAGAATTAAAATAAGGCACCCAAATGCTACAGGGTTTTACTCATACTATGATGCTATTACATCAAAACGGTAACACGGTATAAGAAGTAACAACAAAATAATGAAATTCTATTTTACTGTTGTCTTTAGGCTTATTTCAGTTACTTCAGTTAAGTTCACAGTTAACTGCCTTCCTAAACTTATGGCAATACCTGACTGGAGGGACAGGTGTGAACACACTAGGCACATCTCTACTGCTGCTCATTGGTGGTACCTACAAGATCTCCATCTAGGCTTTGGGCATTGCTGTGCTAGCATTGTTCAAAGATATATCATGACAAGGCAACGCCTGCACTTCCATTTTATGCACCTTCCAATTCCAGAATAGCCCCTTTAACACGCTGAAGAGATCCTGTAGTGCAAAAGCAAGGAACTGGACAACTCCTAACGAACTAGCATTTGACTCACACAGAATCTCACATCCTTCCTTCCAAAGGACCAAACAGGTATGAATCTGATTTGCTTATCCAGAAAAATCTTAGTAATACAGAAATACTGCCACTTTAAAGTGCATCCCCAGAAACATGAAATTATCATGATTCTGTCTACTCTGCACAGTGTTCTAGCTATGTCAGCCCAACCAAAAATGTGCCTTATGCAGCCAAGGAAGCTATTTTTAGATCTGAAATTGCATCCAGGTTAGAACTGGATTAGTAACAGCACATTGCCTAGCCTTTGAGGCGGAAGCTCTGGGCTGAGCCATTGCAAAGGTTCCCAGATGGAAATCATGCCTTCAGTGAAACATAATGTTGTATAGTAAATGGTGGGCTCTTGACAGTGAATATTCACATATTTATAGAAGGAAAGTAATGTAAGTTGAAATTACTTCACTTCCCTGGCAATACTGCCAAGTAATTGGTTCAGAAAGTAACTTAAAGAGTACCAAGAAAAATGCAAAATTTCTCTTCAGAGGGAGCATTTCCTCCCTTTTGGGAGCATTGTTAGATTCTAAGATATTCTTCTGTCCTGGATGTCCTTCAAGAAAAGTAATTTGATGACTCACTGCCTCAATTTTTCCATCTCCAAAACATGAACAATGATTGCTTCATGTCATAAGCCTTTTGATTTCTTTGAAACCTTTCAGTGGAATACGCCACCTGCATGCATATACACAATACTATGAGATCAGACAGTGTGCCACTACTCCTCCCTTCCACCTCTTCCCCTCACACCTCAAACCAGTATAACTTTCAGGCATTACCCAGGGATGCCAGAATATCATGATAAATTTTCAGCTTTGAATGGACTAAGATATTGTTACGTACATTTAGGGGAATTTGGGAAAGAATAAAGACGACGTTTCTGAGAACCCATGTTTTGCATTACGTGCAAAGAAGTCACTCTGGATCGGTCAACACAGGTTGGAATGATCTGAAATTGTCTCAGAGAAGAACCTATAGAAAACGGTGGCAAGCAGAAATGTGTAATGAAACCTAAAACCAGGATTTAGCCAGAACTTTAAGAACATTAAGAACTACCCTTAAATTCTGTATTTCTAAGACTGGGAAATGGATAGAATGTCAGAATCCAACTGCGATATCAGAATGTACAAATCTGTTTTACATGAGAAATGAAAGGGAAAAGACCATGTTGCACTCAGAACTTGTACAGCTAATACAGCATGAATGGGAGAAAAAGCAGGTGTTACATAGTAAATGACCACAACACATGCCCTGATTGCTGGAACATGCTACACCAAGCAGAAGTAATGGCATATCGGAAAGTGGAAGCAGGTAGAAGAGGGGTCCAACATCTTGCTTAGATCCCTGATGAGCCTATCTGTCCTTTTTCTGTCTTCGAACACTCAAAAAGAGCTTCTTATGGCCACTCAGAGTCTACAAATGCCAGCTGAGAAAGATCTAGGTATTCAACTTTTGTGGAGCTGTTCCCATGCAAGCTCCCGCTGAACTTGGTGGAAGTGAAGCTAGTTAGAATCAGTGAAGATATAAAGCAACAGATTATAGACAGCCACTTAGAACAGTGGTTATCTGTAATTCAGTAGTTCCACAGTGTGAGCTGCCTAATTCCTGTTGTTCATTACTTTTTCTTGAACTAGACTGAAGAAATTTTGTATATTTGGGAATATCCTCATTTTGCTTAATAAAATCTTGGACCCTCAAAACCTGGATTGGCAGGAAAAAAACAAAGAAATGGATGACAAATGCTCATGGTGAAAACATGTCTGTTCACCCATAATCTCCCAGAATGGACAATCACAAATCATTTCATTGTTCTTCTGAAAAAGGTACCAAATGCAATGATATACTTGGGGTAGAAAAATAAATGCAGCACTGAGCATCATCAAAACTTTTCACTAGGGCATTGATTTCAGTTCTGTTAAAGCAGTTGTTTTATAGCTTATCCATGAGACAAAAGTATCAAAATATACACAGGCAAAAATTTCACACGATCACACTGAAGAGAAGGAAATATCCTGTACGTAACATTTTAAAGCAGATAGCATTTGCAAAAAAGAACTGAACAACACAAAAGGGGAACACCTGAGAGGGAGAAAATGTGTATTCACAGTTGCCAGAAATTTTAAAGGTGAATTGTTTACCTGGGTAAATAATTGCCTTGTAGGGGTTCTGCTTCTGTTTTGGCAGAAAGTTGTTTATCCAACCTGTTATGGCTTTTCAAATAATGACAGTTTCCTGTATAAATATTTTGGTAGATGTACTAATCCGGAAAATTCGCATCACTTTGCCTGCAACTGATTATACATTATAGCTGTTACAGGTGGATAGTCTAATACTAATACATCTCAGGTATTTATTTCCTGATTAATCCATGTCTGCAGATTTGCATTATGACTTAGGTGTAACCAGAGCGGGGAGCCGTACATAAGCTATGACATCCTCAAAGCTACTTTGGGGTCACAATGCTTTCTCTATTTCATGATTGATCTTGAGAACATAGAGGGAGGCATACCTAACTACTAATATATACTGAATTATTGCACATTCCAATCTGCTTCAGTTACCACCCTTACCATCAAGCAGGCAGAACAGAAACAATGATCTAGTCGACCTTTTTTCCATTCAAGTCTCTTGCCTAAGGGAGCAAGCAAGTAGGCCCTTTTACATGTCTACACACACAAAAAAAAAAAAAAAAATCAGACAGTCACAAGAGCTATAAGGAAGATTCTAATCTTACTTGGTCCTGTATACAGACAAACAAGAGTCACCATCCAACCCTGATATAGCCAAACTCCTCAACAAAAATCCTTACTATATCTCCAAAGAGTGATATATTAAATTTATTAAAATAAATAGGCCTGTCAAAATCTTCATAGATGTTCAGGAGCAGTATTCTGTTATTTCTGTCTAGAGTCCTTGCATATTTTCTTGAATGACAGTCACAGGAAATATGATTAATATCTAATCAAGAATCTCTCAGATGAGAGGAAAAATGAAGAGCCCTTTTATTACTGGGTTACATTTATGCCCAGTTTACCTCAAGTGAAGAGTTTTGAAGTTTCCCAGTTAGGACTTCTTTTTCTTTCTCTAGTTGCTTTAGTTCACACTCAGATTTTCTTTTAAATTCCTCTAGCTGTGTCTGGAGCTCCTAAAGTTTAAAAAAAAAAAAAGAAAAGAGCATGCAATAGCTGGGACAAAATGTGCAGCATAAAAAAGACAGAACATTTCTTGTACATTAACCTAGATAATAGAGCAGTGTACACAGTAATACATGCTACTGTTTACACCATAATACATGCTATTGTCTTTTAATGTCACTCATGTTATTATTCAATCAAAGAAGTATTAATAGTTTGGTTTGGTTCTTTCTAATACTAGTGTTAGACAATACAGTTCACATAATCCTAATCTACTGAAAGCTTCCCCGAGGTGGAAAACTGTACAGCATGAAGACTCAGACTGTTTTGCCTTGGGTGGTGTTAGTGTTCAGAAACAATTTAGTATGCAAGAGTTACCCACAAGATATGAAAAAATGTAAATATACATTGACCATATAAATAACCAGATGACTAATTAATGGGCAATTAGTGGAAAAGGGAACCAAAGGAAGCACTGTCTTATAGCATCCATAAAGAAAATCTCAGTGAGGAAGTAAAAATAAAATAAAATAAAAAATTGAAGACTATATTATCACCTTATTGCTGGAAATATTTTTTGAAAAATCAGTGATAATACCACTTGTAAGCCAGTGAACAAGAGCTTGTAGCAATCGTTTGTAGCAAACGTGAGCAATTGTTTATTGAAGACTGCATGTGTAACTTCTAGAAATATCCTGAAGTTACATATATTACAAGCTTATTAGCGTGCTTGCTTTTCCTATTTCTGTCGATTTGCTGACTCAAAAAAAATTTCTACCATATTTTCAAACACCACAAATGGAGGAAACAGAGAAAAAATAGCAATTTAACACCTCCCCCATCCTGTATTATTAATTATTATTATTATTATTATCCCTTCCTTTTCTGTCCTATTAAACTGTCTTTATCTCAACCCATGATTTTCACTTTTTTTTTTCTGATTCTCTCCCCCATCCCACTGGGGAGGGGGGCAGTGAGTGAACAGCTGTGTGGTGTTTAGCTGCCTGCCGGGTTAAACCACAACAGTCTTTTTGGCACCCAACGTGGGGCACGAAGGGTTTGAGATAATGACAGATCTGACCAGAGCGTGTTAAAACAACTTTGTGATAAGCATTCATTACATTAAATAGTCACCAGTCACAATGTTGATTCATTTGCTCTCAGAGTTGTGCTTGTTCTCTGAGTTGTGCTATTAACACCTTACTTGCCATATGCACTCCCTGTGGTGCTATTTGTCACCTCTCGGAGCTGGATTAAATTTATCGCTTTGCTGTACTGTGTAACACTGGCTTATGGTATGACAAAATTATCAGTCATGAGATCGTACTCAGCACTGCCGTCATGCCTGTACTTCAGGAGCTTTGGGAGCCACTTCTTGGAAACTGTTAATAATCACACTTTTTACCTTTTCCCCTTGGACAACCAATCTATGACACAGAGGGGGACACTTTCCCCCGCTCCTTCACTACCCCTTTCCCCTTCAGGCTACTTACAACAGCTCTTGAGAATTTTGAATATCCTTGGGATGTTCAAACCAGCATGTTCCTATTGCTATGTCTCCTGAATGTGGTTCAGGTCTTGTTTAGGTTTAAACAACTATTTAAGAACATCATCCAGAGATCTGCCCCTGCAATGGGCACTATGGCCACTCCAACCCCTGTGACAGGCACTGCAGTTACTCAAACCTTGGTGACAGGCACTGCAGCAACTCTAACCCCAGTGACAGGCACTGCAGCTGAACTAGAGAACCAACCTGTGCCAGTATCAGTTGCCTGTATACACAAAAAGAAATACACAAGAAGACGGCTCGTTTAGTAAGGGATGAAGATGAAGCAGGGCCATCACAAGAAGAGGAGGAAGAGGCAGAACCCATAAATGAGATGGTAACCACCTGATCCCTATCCCTGAGTGAACTGCGAGATACATGAAAAGACTTCAGTCATCATCCAGGCAAGCACATTGTCACCTGGATGCTCCGGTGCTGGGGTAACGGGGCCAGTAGCGTGGAATTAGAGGGTAGGGAAGCCAAGTGGGTCATGCTGATCACACAGTGGACTTGAATAGGAAACCCCAATCACCTAGGAATCTTGGAAGTAATCATGGGCTGGCCAGAAGGCAAAGATTTCAGAATATTGCCAGAGGAGGAGGTGACTCATGCTGAAGAGGCCCCACTGTGTAATAAGCTACCAGAAAATGAGAAGTGACATGCTCTGTTCACTGATGGATCCAGTGATATTGTAGGAAAGCAGCAGAGATGGAAAACTGCTGTATGGAGCCCTGCATGGCAAGTTGCAGAAACTGCTGAAGGAGAAGGGGAATCGAGCCAATCTGCAGAAGTAAAGGCCATCCAGCTGGCTTTAGACATTGCTGACCGAGAAAAATGGCCAGTACTCACGGATGGTGGCAAATGCCCTGTGGGGGTGGTTGCAGCAATGGAAGCAGAACAACTGGCAGCGCAGGGGCAAATCCATCTGGACTGCTGCATTGTGGCAAGATATTGCTGCCCAGGTAGAGAACCTGGTTGTAAAAGTACATCATGTAGATGCTCACATACCCAAGAGTCGGGCCAGTGAAGAATGCTGAAAAAACCAGCAGGTGGATCAGGCTGCTAAGATTGAAGTGGCTCAGGTGGATCTGGACTGGCAACATAAGGGTGAATTATTTATAGCTCAGGGGGCCCATGACACCTCAGGCCATCAAGGAAGAGGTGCAACATATAGACGGGCTCATGATCGAGGGGTGGACCTGACCATGGACACTATTGCACAGGTTATCCATGAATGTGAAACATGCGCTGCAATCAAACAGGCCAAGCGGTTAACGCCTCTCTGGTATGGAGGACAATGGTTGAAATATAAATATGGGGAGGCCTGGCAGATTGATTGTATCACACTCCCACAAACCCACTAAGGCAAGTGCTACATGCTCACCATGGTGGAAGCAACCACCGGATGGCCGGAAATCCCGTGACCCGTGCCACCACATGGAACACTATCCTGGGCCTTGAAAAGTAAGTCTTATGGTGACATGGCACCCCAGAAAGAACTGAGTCAGACAACAGGACTCATTTCCAAAACAACCTCAGAGACACCTGGGCCAAAGAGCACAGCATTGAGTGGGTATATCACATCCCCTATCATGCACCAGCCTCCGGGAAAATCGAGAGGTACAATGAACTGTTAAAGACTACCCTGAGAGCAATGGGTGGTGGGACATTCAGACATTGGGATACCCATTTAGCAAAAGCCACCTGGTTAGTCAACACCAGGGGATCTGCCAATCGAGCTGGCCCTGCCCAATCAAAACTTTTACATACTGCAGAAGGAGATAAAGTCCCTGTAGTGCACATAAAAAATATGCTGGGGAAGACAGTCTGGGTTACTTCCCCCTCTGGCAAAGGCAAACCCATTCATGGGATTGCTTTTGCTCAAGGACCTGGGTGCACTTGGTGGGTGATGCAAAAGGATGGGGAAGTCCGATGTGTACCTCAAGAGTATTTGATTTTGGGTGAAAATAGCCAATGAACTGAATTGTATGATGTTAATTGCTATATAATACTGTATGTTATCTCTTTTATGGTTGCTATTTGCCATATCAACAGTATTACAGTAAGAATCGCCCAGATTAATGACCTTTGATGAAACCAAGCAAAGTGCAGCAGTGGTGGAACCAGAACTGGCTTCAGCATGCAGCAATCCAACAGCGCACACCATTTCTCCTGCCCTGAAAGACTGTTATGACAGATGGATCCCAAAGTAATGGACTGAATGAACTCAACAGACATTTTAGAGGAATGGCCCACAGACTAAGGGAATAATATCTGTGTGTATATATCAAGACAGGGAAAGTGGTGGTGATGATTAATTGGAAAGTATTGGAAAGGGAAAGACCTGGGCATGACGTAGATGGTATAGAATAAGGGGTGGACACTGTCCTGGTTTCAGCTGGGATAGAGTTAATTTTCTTCTTAGGAGCTGGCATAGTGCTGTGTTTTGGATTTAGTAGGAGAAGAATTAGTTGTTGCTAAGTAGTGCTTACACCAGTCAAGGACTTTTCAGCTTCCCATGCTCTGCCAGGTGCACAAGAAGCTGGGAGGGGGCACAGCCAGGACAGCTGACCCAAACTGGCCAAAGGGCTATTCCATACCATATGATGTCATGCTCAGTATATAAACCGGGGGGAGTTGGTCGGGGGGCAGCAATTGCTGCTCAGAAACTGGCTGGGTATCAGTCGGCAGGTGGTGGGCAATTGCATTGTGCATCACTTCTTTTGTATATTATTATTATTATCCCTTCCTTTTCTGTACTATGAAACTGTCTTTATCTCAACCCATGAGTTTTACTTTTTTTTTCTGATTCTCTCTCCCATCCTACTGCAGGGGGGGAGTGAGCGAACAGCTGTGTGGTGTTTAGCTGCTTGCCAGGTTAAACCACAACATCATGAAAGTGAAATTCTTTGAAGAATCTCTTAAGTCAATTGCTGCTAATGCATACCGACAACAAAAATTACAGCCCAGCCACTTAAAACATACTGAGAAAAGGTATTGCTCAGGTAACCTGTCTGGATCCACAAGAAGATGAGCATTCTTTCTGACTAAAATTAAATGAGGACATATATATGCATGTATTTGCTTGTAACTAGTTGTCATTTCATTGGTAACACCTGCACTCTGAATCCATTTACCAACACTTTGCCAAATTAGATCCTCTGCCTAAATAATGCAAAATTCTGATTAAATCAAGGTATTTGAGTATTTCACAGCAGCAATCCATGGAAACTTAAGTCAGAAATTGGAATACACCGTTTTTCTTCAGGGGGGACCTTATATTAATCACTCCACCTGTCACGCACAAAGCACGCAAGGGTAAGCGTTGCTAAGAAGGCAGTTTATCACATCAAGGATAAATTCACCTTCCTGCCTGTGGAGCTCTTCACAGAAATACATCAGCTTGACTGTTTTTTTCCTTTTTTTTTTTTTTCCCCCCCCAGTAAGACCACAGCGAGAAAATCCTTGCATTTTATGTTAATTCAAAGTGCCTCCAGTGAGGATAATTCAAATGATGTCACTGTGACCAATAAGATTAAAACCAGATGAATTAGAGCATCTATAAATAGAAGAACATTCCTACCTTCTGCATTTTCTTCTTTCAGCTTCCATGAAGTTTTAAACTGTCTTGATTTCCCTTGTATGCTTCATTATGAGATCTTCCAGCCCTTTTAACTGCTATTCCTTCAGACAAATCTTTTCCTTATGGGACTGATGCTTGCCTTTACAAAGCAAGTTCTCTGTGTCTTTTATTCCTACCCTCTTTCTAAATAGCTACAGTTTCCATAGTCTATAAAACACACTAGCTATATAATATGACAAAACCAGGGTAGAATTCTGGGGTCGCAGTAGTGTATTTTGTAGGGAATACGCTATTTAGGTGGATATACTCCATTGAAAAATGATGGCTTTATGTTAGTTAGCAATGTAGCACTACAGTGATTCAGGGTTGTATGCTTCTTCTGCAGTCTAGGGATGAGGGTTTTTTTGCTGTTATGGTTCGAGTTTGGGTGTGTGACTCATTTCCAACCATACAGGCTTCCTCAAGGACAACCTTAGTTCTGTGAAAAAGCACAAAGGACATTTTGGGTTTTGTTATGTCTCTGATGCCAGGTCTAATTTTCCAGAATGCTAGCATAACAATATTCTAGGAGAACTAAAAAATATAGAAAAGATTGGGGGCTGGACAATTGTTTAAGGGGAGACATTGTACAGAGGGAACTCTCAGGATACATACATTCCTCATTGTACTGAGTTTATTCCTGGTATTATTTCTGCATAGCTTTTCAGAAGAACTGTTTTCTATATTTAAAAAAAAATAAATCAGTATTCCAACGTGACCTCAACAGAGAAAGTCTACCTTGGACTTTGTTGTCTTTAAGGTTTTGGTTACAGAAGAAGTTGAACACTCTGCCCTGCTCTAGCTCAAGGATGTCAGTAGTTTCTTCGCTGTCACTGCAGCAACTCATATACTTCAGGCTATGAACATGAGTCAGTGTTCCACTGGATGAGGTCAGAGATCTGGGAATCTTACAGGATTGACTGCTGTAGAATAACCCAAAAGCCATTCATCTTAAAAGAAGAATGACATCAATTTCAGTACTTTTGGCATGCCATGCCTTTGAATATTTGAGAGCAAACCACCTGTTTAAGCTCTTGCACATCTTCAGAGCTGCTCTTGTCCTGGCTCTGTTTGGTAGAAGTCATTTGCTGCAGCTATGTTATTTGATGTTTCAGTTCATCTACTTTATTAATAGCTTTGCTTTGGGAATTCAATATAGTTTCTATATCTTCTGTGGTATCAAAATTTACATTTCAAATAGCATAAATACCTTGTGGAATTTCCAATGTGAGTGACTATTAACAACGGAAATACTTCAGAATGACATTAATAAGCATCTTACCTGCTTTTTGCAGGATTTCCTTCTTGTGAAGTGTTTTTCTCTCTTTGACTATGCTTAGATCTTCCTCCACTTTTTTCACTCTGCCTTTTGATCCCAGAATTTCTTGTTGTGTTCCCTTAAGCTACACTTCCAAATCCTAAAACATGCATGGCATTACTTCTACTTTTATTACATATGTTCTGTTTTTGTCATCTGAAATAAGTGGTCATTTTCTCTCTTGGCACAGTTCCATGATATAAATCTTTCACCTACAGAGCTGGTTTAAATGCATTTTTTGCTGTTCCATACCCTTAAAGTGTCTCTGCTGCCAGAATATTTGTAATGTGGAGCCATTCCTTCAGATGTAGGCATCATTGTGAAGTGAACACTCATCAAGGGTTACCATCTAAAAGATGTCCGAGATTATCCTGAACTTGGAACAGGATATACTTCCATTAATTTTATGACAACTTGTGCTAAAAGTTAATGAATATTAGTTTGGGGTTTTTTCCAGTTGCTGAAGTACAATAGTTTGTAACATAATCCATAATACAGATGCCTAAAACCAGAAAAATTGGCTCTACAGACTTCGCTGGGAATTGTCCCCGTAATTAAGGCAAAAACTTGAACCATATTTAGTGTTCTATTTCTCGAGGGTCTAGTCTCAGTTTCCAGATGTCTAACATAATACTGCAATATTCACTCAGACAAAATTGCCATTTGTTCCTCTATGAATGTTGAGTAAAACCTCATGGGTTAAAACTAACTTGTATTTAACACTCTCTGTAGTTGAAAACTTAAAGTTAAGCTTGTTCCTTTTACCCCTGGCATATGCCAAAATTCTTCCAAAACTAGACTGAACAGATCAGACTTAATGACTTGTCATCCTTTGTATTCCCTCTTCCACAGTAATAATAATAAACGTGCACTAATGTGATGCCTTTCATCTAAAGGTCTCAAACCTCTTGGCATATACTAAGGAGAAAACAGAAAATTCATCTTGCTTAAACATCAGTCCTTTTATCTTTCAAGCCTTATAATAGCTTTTCTTGCTAGTATTTACTAATGATCAGAGGTATTACTGATAAAAGAAATGTTTCTGTTTCCCAGTCTGCCATTGTCCACAAGATTCTGAAAAAAATGTAGTATTTAATGGTGGCATCAGAAATAGCCAATTTAGAAAGGAGAAACTTTTACTTTTTTATTTAAACCCGAAAGAAACAAAATAACATGGTATCTAACTGTTTTCCTTCTTCCAGATTTATCCTAGTCTGAGGCTATCTCTTTAAAGATTCAAGGCAATATGCTCCAGTGGTATGTAAATCAGCCTCATTCCATAGACTTAGAGGATCTGAAATGTACAAGTTGAGCATACCACCCTCAGAAAATATTTACATGTTATGCAGCTGATACAGAATTTAGAAATTAAATTGTTAATGACATCACCTTCTTATTTGCAGTTCCTATCATGTTTTACAATATTTATTCCTAAAAGAATGCATTTCTTATACAATAAATCAGAACAGTAAACCACATGCATAAATTTTCACATCTCTATTCTTCTTTTCTCCTGAACGTTACTTCAAGTACTCACAAGAAATCAGGATCTTGCTTTCCCTCTTCCCCTCTATTGCTTCAAACTTCTACAGAGCCAGGACACTTTTCCTATTGAAACAGGTATTACGGATTTCCCTGACCCAATTTAAAAAAAATGGCTTATCTGCATCTCTGCCATTCATTATATCCTCTCCACTTTTCTACAGAAGATAGAGGTAGTTCTGCTACAGATCTACACACTGAGAGAATGGAGTCTCAATAATGCTGGGGAAGGCGTATGCAATTCACCCTCTGATCTCGTGAAACAAAAAGGCAGAGACTGCACTGGAGGCTCCACTCCCTCAAAGAAGAGGCCCAGAGCTCTGCACCATCAGCAAAATGATACTGACAGGCCAGATGTGAGGCCAGATGGTGAAAAGGGTCAGAGTTGTCTTGGAGGAATACAGCTGACTGGGGTGGCCCTGCTCTCTACAGGATTCTAGGGTTCTCTGACTCTAAAGGAGGTAACTCTTCTTCCCATCAGGAAACAATTATTGTTATTCTGAAATACACCAAGTCTAGACCTTCAAGGTGTTTTCTTACCTAATATGCAAGACTGCTGTCATAAGTCAGGGGACAGGTCTGGTAGGTGAGTTTACATGATGGGAAGGACCAACAGTATTAGAAGGCAGTGGAACTGTTGAGCACAGAGTGTGGTTGGGTGCTTCGGCATCAGCGCAGTTCATCAGTGCCACTGTTGCAAGAGTCATACAATACAAAGCACTTGATTCCTAACCTGCCAGCTCAGGTCTCTTATCTAACCCTGTTCATATCCATGCACTGAGCCGCTGACAATCACAAGAGAAAAGGAGAATGTACTCTGTAAATACTCATCGCTAGCATTAGTGCCCGCTTGCTGTTCTCTTCACATTTCTGGACAGGAAAGGTGAAGCTCTGTTCAGTCAACAGACAAATTTTACCTCACTCCTTGCTCAGGGAATACAAAGTCTAGTGTTCAAAGAGTTCTCCTAATGAGTTACTAATCATCTTAACTCTTTAAAACTCTCAGCACTATACCCCTCCTTTTTCTCTTCTAAGCCTCTAAAACTGCTTTAGTGCTTACAAAGCATTTGACTCTGATATTTAAAAGACCCCTCCTCCCCTGAATTTTGAAGAATTGGTAATTTGCACTTTTATAGGCAGAGATAGGGATCACAGGCTCATACGCTACCTGTATTCTCTCCTTCAGCTTCTGGGAATGTTTCTTCCTCTCATTTATCTTCTGGCTTTTCTCCTCTAGGTCTGCCTCCAGCTTCTTTACCTGCTGCAGCAAAAACCCTTCCTCAGCCTCTGAGCTCTTACTTTGCTCCATTTCTGTTTGCTGACAATTCTTCTTTGTTTCTATCACAGATTGCTGCATAGCATTTTTAAAATAATCTTTTTCTCTCTCATAAGAGGCTTCCAGTTTGCTTGTTTTCTGAGTACATTCTTCAGCTGCTCTCTGGTACTCACTCTTCAGGTTTTCCATCTCATTTATTAGAACTTGTCTTTCCATACTGCATTTTTCATCTAAAATTACTTTTTTATCTAAATTTGCTCTCCTAGATGCTTTGCATTCATTTAGCAGACCATCAGACTCCTGATTTAAATGTAGAAGCTTGTTTTCAAAGGCTGCATTGGTATCTACCATGTCTGTAGAAAGGGCCCTCTGTGCTTGTTTTGCTTCTGTTCTCGGCTCCCTCTCTTGCACCTGCTTCTTGCACAATGTTAACTCTGCCAAGGCTTCCTCCTTCAGTCTCTTGTGTTGTTGTACTGCAATTTCAAGGGCCTCAATACGTTTTCTCAGCAACTGTTCTTCTTCAACTTTGCTTTTACACTGGAGAATTGTTTCCCTTGTCTCAGCAAGAATGTGCTGAATTTCTTCTTCATGAGCCTCTCTCAGAGCCTGTATACTAGCCTCATGTTCATCATTCTTAGTGTTCAGGGCATATATCACCTATAGAACAAGAAAAATAATAGGAAATTAAAGTATCTGGTAAATGGTAGTCATGAATTTGGTTACTATATTTATCAATGTGTTAAATGCTAAAAGAGAATTACTGCTACAGTTTAATCTTTTTTGTTGTTGTTTCTTTGTGGTGTTTTTTTTTTTTTTCACTAGGAACAGAAGGGACAATTATAAACTGCAAAACCTTATAGGGAAGGAAGACAACACTGTGAGAAACAACTTTTTTTTTTCCCTTTTTGTCAGAAATCTCCTCTTTTATTCTTGGCAAGCTGTCACTTCATGCCCCTAGTTTGATCTCTGATACAAGGAATGAAACAGGGCCCCTTCTCTAGCTAACTGACTCAGTATTTGTAGTCCAGTTCACCTAGCCTTCAGTGCAGGAAGACCACCTGCCACATTGCCTTTAGCATTAGCAAGCGCTGGGGACCAGTAGTAGCAGATCTGTAGAGTGAAACCTGAAGTCCTGACATGCAGTTCATGTGGACGAAACTCACTCTGTAATGTAAATGAAAGGAAAGTTTGTAAGGAGGATTACATTTTGCACTCCTGACTCAAACTAAAATACCACCGATGATGCACTCCTGGAAGCTGTATGCCTGGCAAGTTAGCTTAGTCAGCATTTCAATATAGGTATTACTTGACTGCAAGCACCTTTTGGCCTGTTTCCAAGAAGTTTTCAGGCAATGGAGGTTTTTCCCTCACTTCAGTAACAGCTATAAATCTCAGACATCAGGTTTTAGCAGACTCGAGCGAGCCTCTGATGACAATAAGCAAATTTTTCAAACAATTGATTAAAACCTGTTGATGATTTAGTTTCTTCTACAAAATGCAGAATAATAATTCTCATGACTATAAGACAAGTTATTACCCCAAGCAGGCTTCGTCTGTTACCCATGACATACACCAAAGACCTCTCACGGAAGCTGTTGTACAAGCATGCTACTATTGTTTTGAAAAAAAAAAAAAGCTATTAGAAGCTCACAGTAGACTGAAATGAAGAATTCTGTGTCAAAACTGGTAAATGTGCATGTTACGCTTACAAGACAGTTATATATAATTGCAAAACAGAGTAACTGCCTTGAAAAGACACATGCTTGTCTTTTCAGGCCCCCATTAGGACACATGGGGCCTAATCCAGTTTCTACTGGGCACAGGTATCTAACTCAAGGGGAACAAGACATTATGTATTAACATATGTGTGGAGGTTTTCCACTTGTTTGGTTGGCTGGGGTTTTTTTTAGAGAGAACTTACTGTTCTACAAAAGTAGGTTTGGAATTTGTATACAAGTTACGACAGATACTTTCAGTCTGGCCTGAGCCTATAGAGGATAATCAAAAGATTCCTAGACAATGTTTGAGAAAATAATAGTCTTAAATACATAAATAAATACAGAAGCATAGTCACAACTAATTCTTTAATTATACTGGAATTTTGGCCCTGTAACCTTCAATATTTCCTCAGGGAAAGGCCCAGCTGAGGGACCAATAGGCATTGACCACAGTGTCACAAGTCTGCAGTCTGTGTTGTATAGGCCCTGAGGATGTCTCCAGAATTATTGAATTTGCTTAGCTATGTCTAACCATTTTTTGTGCTATCTATGTATGAATAACATATTGAATGTCAGTCATCCATAAATGAAAGCAAACACACAAATACATCTTGCGTGTAGTCAACTTCCTCCTTGGCAGTAATGAATTATGTACAGAAATCTTAAAAAGTCACAAATGCAAAACATGGTCTGGATATATTTCTGGATAAATATGTGACAAAAGAGAAGTAACAGCATCATATTCCAGAAGACAAGCAGACAAGAAGTCACTGTCTACATTTAGATATGTATATTTTGGGACCTGAGATTACATGCCATTAATCCTTCTCTGTTATTTTTAACCATTTTTCCTTTGAAACAGAAATAGTTGCAGGATACTGAGCAGACTCCTTCTCCCCACTAACTAAAATCGTTCTATGAACCTTTCTTAACTGTCCAGGAGACAGATATAAAAGCTGCAAGGATAAGATTAATTTTGCCCATGGGTTTAGAATGACCAGTAATTAGTTTGGGCAACTCTTCAATTAACTAGATCAGATGTTGATGATCACATTTCTGTGTTTCATTCCACCAGCAAAACAGAGATGAACATCCATCCTTTGTGACTCAAAGACTTCCACTCTTAATGATTAATTTATCTAGTAAATCAGCACTGCCTGTCTCATATTACGTTGTGTTCAGGCTGACAGTGGAATTTGGGTTCCTCTAAAGTCTGACTTCATCACAGAGATTTCCCAAATTCCACTGAGCATTAGACCATCACCAACATGTGAGTTATCTAAAAGAATGGAAGAAACTGGCCTCCCTGCTCTATCTATTATTCCTACACTTCTGTTCAATAGTGGCTCGAACCACAATGAAGAATTTTTACTTGAAAATGCATGCCCTTAAATTTAATCTTCAAGCTTGAGTGCTGAAACTGATTCCTCAGTATCTTAACCTTCTTAAGAGATTTAATTTTTAGAGGGCTGCTGCTCTGTACTTTATGAAATTTAAGCCTCTCACATGCTTTTCACTCCCTACCAAATATAGCTACTATATTCCTCTTCCAGATACCTCATTTAAGAGACTGGAGTTATGTGACATGAATCTGGGACCTTCTGTGCTGGAAGGAAAAATCCCGAAAAATTATTTCAGCATCTGTACTTTGCAAGTGTACATACTGCTGGCTAATGTGGTATAAACCTCTCACAGTTGTGCTGATAAACAGCTTTTTAAAAGCAGCTCTAAAATTGATCAGTTTGACAATACAGACAGAATTGCTTTCAAATGAGAAGAGCACTACATTACTCTTGGAGTTACTAGCATAATACCAATGGCTACTCCCTCCTTACAGTTCTCCAAAATGGAATGTATTGGGAAACACTGTACTGATTTTACAGCAACTGAGAGTTATATGACAGGTTGGTAAAAACACTATTACACACATACACTTGAAGATTAACAGTGCAGTGCATATGAATACATCTTATTAGTCCTATTTTATCCTCCAAATGCTGTAAATCTAAATGGCATTTCCCTTCTCCTTTTCTTTATGGTGATGTAAAATAACAAAAAAGAAAACATTCAACTGCACCTCATTAGTGAAGACAAAGCTAGAGCATTCATACCAAAAAAGACTGTTCTATCTTCCTACAGTAGTGTTAAACACTGCTCTTGTAGGAATCTGACTATCATAATGAAAAAAATGTTTCTAGCAGGTCGCTTCATTAGCTGAATAAGAAGTGAGACAGTTTGGTATGGAAGGTGAAGAGTGAGAATGGTAAGAAGAATCAAAGAAAGGTAAAAGATGGTAAGTGTTCTTCCTTCAGGCCCAAGCTAGTGGGCACAAATCCTTCCTGATGGAGAAAGGACTAAAAGAAAAAAAAGAAACACAAGAATGAGAAAAGGCCCTGGAGGGGCATGCCAAACAGGGTATTCCTGGCAGCACCCTAAACAAAGTAGGGAAGGAGGCAAGTTTTGATTGCTCACAGAGGCCAGGTGACCGCATCATCTCCTTTTCATTAGTAGCAGTAGTATCTTATCTTCACTAGCAGGTGAATTTGTTTCTATGAATTCTGTCTTGTCTACTTCCCAAGCAGACCAGAGCAGAATGAGGTATCTAAACATGTCAGCCTTAAAAGTGTGTCTCTTAAAGCAAAGGACAGAGAAATTATTAAAAGTAAATTCAGTTATTGAAACAAATGGCTCTGTATCCCTTAGCCTCCTCTGTCACTTTAACTATACAGGTTAGAAAATAAAACCAACTCCCACAATTTACTAGTTAATACTCTAATAAGTATCTTTTGTTCTTTCTAACACTGAATAAGGAAGAATGTCTTTTAACTAAGGTACAGGCCTAGGCTACGATTAGCTACAGTGCTGATCCAATTTTACACTTATGCTGATTTCAACTGAATGATACAGCTGTAACATATGATCAGGACCTCAAGAACTAAGTCTCATATCTCTCCTTGTGTCCTCTGTGGCTTCCTGAAAGCCCAATAATAATTTTATTAGCTGCAGCAACTATTGATAACATTACCCATTTATGTGTTTATATAAGAGAAGCCTTAAAAAAAAATTGGCACTCCAAACATCCAGAAGTGTTTCAGAACCTAAAATGACAAAAATATCTTCAAAATGACAAGGAATTTTGTTTATATTTCTGAAGGTTTTTTTTAAATTTGCCTATTTTTTTAGTCTTCCAGGTGTGCCTTTAGCACCTTGCAAAAACACAAGCTGAAGTAATTTATTTTCCTCTGAAATTAAAGCTCAGCTCCAGCTGAAATAACTTTGTGTTCAAAAGCTGGAGTTGTGGGGAGAAATACCAAAGGTTTCTGTTGTGAGCTTGATAGGTTTATATCCCGGAAGTTTGATCCCTATTATGCTTCAAAAATATGAGCTAATGCATCTCATTAACCAGATCTAAATACGGTGGCAACATAATTCATTTGCCAAATTAACCCTCAATTTTGTGAAAATGTTTCATTTCATCCCACATTTTTAAAGATCTTTAAGGAGTCTAAAATTGCAGACACATGTTCAGTGCTTTCAAAGGGCTAGTTTTTTGTTGGTTTTTTTTTTTATGATTCCAGATACGTATCTGAAAGCTTTCACATTACATAGCCTACTACCATCCCATTCATTAGAAAAATGTATAAAGTACATTTCTTTTTATAAGAAATACATACAGTTCATGGTTCATTTATCCACTCACTGTGATAGTACATTAAAATTACCTTGAATCAACACAGACCAACACAGTGTTGACTGTCACTTATAAAACAATAAAAATACCTTATTTCAAGCCTTTCACTGTCAGCAAGTTATTAAAAATATTTTTCCAAAATTTCCCAACTGTCAAACTTCTATCTATCCATGCATAGTGGGCATGGATAACAAATTAACGAAGTCCGAGATGTGAAGAGTTCAGGGCCAACTTATGTTCAATGGTGT